CATCATTTAATTTATTTCTAATTATATTATTTATATTATTACTAGTTATACATGTATTTGTATTTGTTTTTATACATTTATAAATTATAAATAATATTATGAATTATACATTTATTTGTTTTTTAATTATTTCATATATTTATTTCATATTAAAATTCTTAAGTATTCAGGAGTTACAGCAATATTTGATGAAATAAATATTTTTAACACTTTCATATTTAATTATGTAGTTGTAAGAAATTGTATTTATTTTTTCTACAATTTCTATTTTCTAAACTTTTTGTATTAATTATATTTAATTTTAACATAATTTAATTTATTTTAATTATTTTATTTATATCATTATTAGTTATACACATATTTGTTTTTTATACATTTATTTTTATTATGCATACGTAAATTATAAATGATTATATATTATTAATAAAATTTCAGCTATAATGGCTAATGATAATGACTTTGCAATGTAAGCATTATAATGAACTTTAAAAAACATTCATAATCATTTATTGTTCTTATAAACCAGGCTTAAAATGCAACACTCAGTTTTATACAATATGTTACCGGGGTCCCTGCTACGTCTTTTTATCCACGAAAGGGTTCCTTGGCCTGAAAAACTTTGACGAGTCCTGTCTAAAACACCTGGAAAACACTTTCCATGCTTATTTTCCCAACCGTTCCAATGTTTCGCTGTTTTCCTGGATGTGCGTCATATGGTAGTCAGGTGTTGACATGTTTACTGCGGCGTCGCATCTGATGTGGCCGTCTTGTTTATAAGAGCAGTCATGAGACTTGCACATTTGAATGCCGTAATGCTATAAACTCCACTTCTCCTCCGCTCTTACATAACCTGTTGATTTGCTTCGCATTTGAATCTCTCGGAACGATTGGCTGCGTGTCAGGACTGCCTTCAATTAACTTGAGTGAGGAGCATTTAACAAAGAGGTCATTTACAGAAAGAGCTTAATTTTTTTTATACATTGTCCGATGACGTCCCGAGGTTTACAGAATGCGCTGGAGCAGATGAATCATTTTTTAAGTATGTCTCCTTTGTGCATGTGTGTGTTGCATTTCTCATTCGCTCGCTGTTGTTTGAAAGAGGCCTGAATGACTGAGTTCACTGTTAACCTGGAAAGAAGGCTGGTTATGTAACGAGCTTTCAAAACTGCCCCAGAATTCGGCTGATAACTTGCACTCCTCGCCATCCCTCCTTGTGTCACGCATCACACACTCGCTCCGTGCCTGTTTGGCTCCAGAAAAGTCGGGCAGGATTTTCCTCTGCGCTCTTCTCCCCTCCTTTTTTTCCCTGTCGTCCTGTGCGAGCGTGCATGAGCAGCCTCTCACTGCTATCCCCTCCGCCACTCAGCTGATTACTGACTTATGTAAAGGGGAAAAAAAAACAACAACGAGTGAAATTAGGACAGAATATACCAGAGAAAAACACTACATAACCAGCGGGACACTTTTATTCATAGAAGGAACTGAAAGTTTTCCTTTAGGATTTAGATTGATTGGGATGTTGTGTTCCTAAAACACAGTTTGATTTAGCAAGACCTCATTTTTTAATTCAGAAGAAAATCAAACCGTTTGAAGGGTTTTCTTTGGAAAGCAAGCACTCTGTCTGAATTGTGTGCTTGTTTGTGTGAATGTGTCGACCGTGCCAGTCTTGTAGCACTTGGGACGGTGTTGGAGACAGATGGTGTAAAATCAGGTGAGCTGAGGGAGGCACTCCAGGTTATTTCCGTGGTAGTTGCTGTGAGTTTGTGTGTGTGTGTCTGGTTATGTAACCGCAGTGGTGTGAGTCTGGCTGGCAGTAAACAGGGTGGAGGGGAGGGAGGGACGTGAGAACTCTGCTGAGGAGCATGGCTGCGCTGCGCTGCTGACTTAACTCCTTGTGCGCTGGGACAGGAGTGGCACATGCACATCTAAAGGTTTAATTGGAGTCGAATTGTCCTGGATTATTTGAGATATGAGATTATATAGAAGTATACAAGAGAAATGTAAAATATAAAATATATATAATATACAAATGTAAATGATCAAATATAATTATATATAAATTTAGTTTAATATCTAAAAATATAAATAAAACAAAAATAAAATGATTTAGAATTTTTTATTATATATTAAACCATTTTATTTGTGTGTTTATGTCTGTATATTTGTTGTGTATATGTGTGCGTGTGTGTGATTTGTATGTAAAGTTTAAAGTTATATCTATGAACAATAAATATGAATGATTAGTGCTGTCAAACGATTATTCGCGATTAATCGCACGACATTCTAATTTATTGAGATGCACCTGTATATACATAAATATGCACAGCACACATATACTATGTAAACAAAAACTTATATTTTGGATGTGATTAATTATGATTAATCGTTTGACAGCACTATTAATGATACAATTCTGTGTACATACATTTATAAATAATTAATTAATATTAATAATAATAATAATTATTATTCTATAAACAATAAGTATATTAAAACTATATACATATAATAGACAAATTATTTGTGCATATAATTTTTTTTGTTTTTTTTATATATTTAATTATGATTTTAGTTTTCATAAAATATATATTTAAAGTGTGTTTACATATGTGTGTATGTATTTAATATATTATTATTTGTATTAAATATTTGCACACACACAGAAAAATACATATTTAGAGTGTGTTTACATATGTGTGTATGTATTTAATATATAATTATTTTTATTAAATAATAACGTGTGTGTGTGTGTATATATATATATATATATATATATATATATATTTGTCTTCATAATTCAGGGTTAGTAACGT